TCAAGATACTTTTTTTTAGGGGGGGGGGAGATGTTGTCCAAATAATTCACGTTTATTTCCCTTTTATTCGCTGATGGCCATACACCTCCGTCTAAATACTTATGGATCAAAGAATAGTATTCCCCCCCCCCCCAACAAAAAAGACATATTCGTATCTTACAATTTTTAATGTGTCACTAAGCATTTCTCACAATAAGCAATTAATTGTTTTGCCACACAGCCTACTAACAACATCGAAATAAACCAGATAACATGAAAGACTGATATCATTGACCCTGGTCAATTGGCAGTACTGTTGTCCAAAGATAGTTTTCAAAGTAAACCTTGAGGTTTCTATGGTAACAACCATTACCTATGTCTTGGTGTAAGCATTTCAGCGAAATAGATAGAGGAGAAGTAATTAGCACGCTTGAATTTGGCGCCAAGTTGCTATTACATTCAGTATTTTTTGATGAATATCCAGTAGCGGATCGGTATCTAACAGTTACTGCAAGATGGCAAAGATGTGTCACAACCGGAAAGTTTCCGAGGGCAACGTTAGAAAAGAAATGCAACTCATATTTCAAGAAAACAATTATAAAGTTCCCAAAATGCTGCTTCACATGCCAGAAAAAACAGCTGACTTGGGCCGTAAACATGGGCAATATACCAGTGGAGCTACAAACTACGTTAGTACCATAGTGAATGTCATAACAGGGTTGGATGTAATTTGGAGAACACCAACAAGCTATGTCTAAAAAGCTGCCTTCTGGAGTGATTCAATCATAATGTGAGCTAGTATCAACTTGTTTGATTGTAAGAACCTTGTATACCATTCAAAGGCCTGGTATGACCTGGTAGTTAGGGCACTCGACTCACAACTTGAGGGTCGAGTGTTCGATTTTCTATCCCTGAACATGCTCGCCTTTTCAGACTTGGGGTTATCATAATGTGACGTTCAATCTAACTATACTGAGGTAAAGAGTAGTCCAAGAGTTGGCGATGGTAGGTGTTGATTAATTGCTTTCCCTCTAGTCTTTCAGTTCAATATTAGGGACGGCTGGTGCAGATAGCCCTCATACTGCTTTGCGTGAGACTCAAAAGAAACAAACAAATACCAGCCAAGGACGTACAATGGCTAACAAGAAGTATATGGAGAAAATTATGGATGCTATTATGAGACCATTCGCGGGTTTAATTGGCACCTGTTTTATTCTAATAGATGATGTTGATAAACTACATCGTGCAGAAATGTTATTGGATAACCTTGAAATGGAGGGTTCTGCAACATAAGGTTTCAGGCAATCTCGTGTAACTTAATTAAATATATCTGGAACATACTGCAGAGACAAATTCATAATCGATCAGTACAACCAAATAGCCTCAGGAAATTTCAGAATGCACTTCTGAAAGAATGGTAAAATATTCCTCAAAATGCAATAGAAACTGTAATTCAGAGTATTCTACATCGATGTCGACGTGTAAGCCCACAAAGGAAAAACGTATTAGAGTATTTGAGAATCATTGCAATACAACTGTGGTTTCAAACTTCCATGAATGATGTTACTACAAACGTCACTTGCTTATTATGTACATATAATGAGCACGCTGTATGACCAGTTGTTTCATTGTCTGTTACGAAGGATGACTACTGAAACATTAAAGCCAACAACTAATTTTGAGTTTATAGTCTAGAGTAAAGACAGTTAATAAACAGTACCACCACTAACTTTTGTCTGGTTTGAACGAATAGTGGGATTTAAACGTTATACACATAACGCCCCCACATCCCGAATCTGCGAAGCACGATTTATTTATTTTTTCTATTTTTTTTGTGGGGGGAGGGGGTAACGAGACACAAATGATAGATTTATAGATCCACAGTCCGGCACCTGGTCTCGCTTGGTTCTAAATTTACCACAGAGGAAATGTATGTCTTGCTCATTTCTTTATGAATAATGTATTTTCAAATAACATTTTTTTCTACTTTCATTAAGAAGTACTTACTAATAATAATGGGAAAAAAATGGAATAATTATAATAACAAAGAAGAAGGACTCCTTTTTCGTTCTTACATTTATAAATTCGAAACATATATGTTGTTTTTCTTCACCAACTGTTCGTTTGTTTTTAAACATTAAACTAAAAGTCATTTTGTTTTAATGTAAAAGTAGTTGAAATATGTAGACTCAATTTTGCACTGAAGTCAAAAAGTTATATGCTTATAATTTACTCCGCCATGTTGGACGTCATGTGCTTATGCTCATCTTAGGTGAAAAATGACAAATTTGTCTTCTAATATCGTGCGCCTTTTTCATATACTTTGTTAAAGGTGATGTTTACGCCATTGAAAGCATGTAAAGCTTTCCCGAATCTTGTAATGGTGTAGATTGTTGGAAAGGAATGTTTGATGTCCAATATGGCGGCGATGAATGAAACAGGAAGTTTCGTGACGTCACCTGAAATATCTCCATATGTGGTATTTAAATATTCGTAACTTGAAAAACACGTGATAGTGTGTTGTGCTTGTTGATACAATAAATCATTTTCCAGATGTCTCGGTAAGTGTGGAAAAAGCTTACATTTACATAAACGAACCTTCAAATATGGCAGAAACGTTGATTTAGCACAGCCACTTCACTGAGTAATAAACCAACAATAAAACCCAAATTGTGAATTCGGTTTATACTGTCTGCAATTATGAATAAATCGAGTTCACTTTTTTGTTTATAATATGTTAATAAACTTATGTTGTTTATACTGAATGTATGTTCCGTTTGTACTGACCGTAAGCATGAATAAACCAAACTTTTTATGTAGAATGTGTTGACAAGTACATATAGAGCTTGAGGTGACGAAGTACTGTATCAAGACAACAGATCTATAGGACAACACAGTAACTTTACCAATAGTTTTGATTACCTCTTTCCTAGGAGAACCAGCACGGATTTCTAGAAAGAATAGTGTTTATTAATTACACTTCCTTGAGTGTTGTTAATGACGATGTCTTTTTAATACGAAGCTACAAGCTTTTTCCTGTTTTTCACAAACAGGTGTCTCTTTTAAGTGTTTCACTTGTCAATCTCTCAAATTATTTTGCCCGAAAACTGTCAGATTATTTTACTCATTTTTAGAAGTTTTTAGACGTTTTGCTTATTGATCCCTTCGGAATTTTATTTATTCAGGGGAAATCCACCATTAAAATTAATGCAATATATAGTACTTTACATTGTTTAATATAGAACTTTACGTTGTTTAATATAATACTTTACGTTGTTTAATAATTACTGTTTATTTAAGCGTCTAATTTTATATCCATGAAGGTATAATTTTTATCAATCAAAGAAAAAAAAAGTTATTTTATTCTCATTATTCGGAACTATTATTCATATTTATATGTATATTTGTATTTTATACACAAACTAAATAGCCAAAACTGCAAATATGTAAACTTTCTTTTTTTTGGGGAGCCTGTGGTTGTACGTGTTTATAAAAACCGCTTTGTAAGATTTCCTCATGCTATAGCTTGAGTTTCTAACTCCTCTCTACTAGACAAAATGGATTCTTCTCGCTGATCAATAGCAAAAGGAAAATGCTTCAGCAAGCTCTATGCGTATCATGTGAACCTCGTACGTTTGCAAATAATTCTAACGCCAAGCGTTTTTTAGCGCTAAAGATTTGCTAGTATGATAATGTTTTAACTATTTTTGCTTGTTTTTTTATACAATGTAAAATCAATACATTTGAAGTTGCTATAAATATATAGCAAATATGCTAGGTATATATATCTGCATAGCTTATACAGTCGCATTTTATTTGTCGCCTACATCAAGCAAGAAATCTTTCACAACCTATGGTTTGTTTGTTTGTTTATAATTAAGCACAAAGCTACACAATGGGCTATCTGTGCTCTGCCCACCACGAGTAACGAAACCCGGTTTCTAGTGTTGTAAGTCCGCAGACATGCCGCTGTGCCAATGGGGGGGGGGCTACAACTTATGGTGAACTAAACACACTTTTCATTCCTATTGATGATGGAGCTACAAAAAAGAATGTTTTTTTGTACTGAGAAAACAGCTCCTAAAAAATTCAATGTTTAACTTTATAATAGAAAAAGAAGAGATAATCCGACTGTTCGAGTTTAATGTATAATGTATTTTTTAATGTATAAGTTTAGTACTGATTACTGAACTGGTCAGAAGACGAGGTTTAAGTACTAAAGCATTGGTCTATGTATATAATGATGATCCTATATCAACAACGGAGTATTTTTTGATAAACCTATTTACTGAAGGTGTTTAAAAAATTAAAGAAAATTTTATGGATCTGATTGATTTGAGGGTTTTCAGACAACAACTTGATCAATACTATAAATTAAAGATGTAGTTGTTATTCACAAAAGAGGCATAATTACAGTAAGAAGTCTCACGTGGTTAGTGACGAAAAAAAAAGTTATCAAATTAAGACTCAACGACTAACGGCTTAACATATAGGAACCGTGAGCTCCTCTGCTTTTGACTTGTCCATCTTGCATTAGGCGTAATATAATGTTCTTAGCATATTAGTGGAAAATTATCTCAGTTGCGTAATATCGATCAAAGCCCAAAATCAATGTTACAGCTATTTTTGGGCTAATATGTAAACTACCTTCTCAGAAAACTCGTAGAAAATCACCTGATAACAAAGTTTCCGTGAGATTCATATTGAAATTAATGAGCAGTTTGTGGTTTCTATATCTTTAACATGATACAAGTGAAACAACGATAACCATAAAAAAACCATGAAGTTAAATGAATTTGAAAATAATATTCTATTCAACTCTATGTTAAAGAATGGGAAAATGGAAATTCTGGTAGCTAAGAATTTCTTTAACTTGGCAAAGCATATATCATGATTAGAATCAGCGTGTTTTAAGGATTTTTGTTGAGAAAAAAATTATTTTTTTACCTCCTTGGAAAACCATGGCAAAGACGACTGCTACTCCAAAAACTCGGAACAACACCCAAGCGCCAGACGTTGGCATTGCAGAGGTAGTTATCTTCTGTTTGCAGCTATGATAATAAAGATGTTCGAACCACAACAGCGTACCGTTAGCTTTGATTTTCAGAATACAGTTCCAGTTATATGTTGATTTATTTGTAACCTTTTCAAACCAAACGTTTCCTTTTCGAGATGTAAGGATGTAGGCTAACACTACAGCGAATTGGACTGGAACAATGTCTGAAATGTGACATGCGCACTCGTCTGAAAAGGCAAAGGACGATTCGCTAGAACTGAGCATTAGCGTAGATAGCGAACGACAGAATTCCCGGATTTGTATTGATTCAATCTCTAACCCAAAACTAAGAGCTGAGGAGGAAGAAGGGTGGGTGAGTAAAACATTTCCGAATCAGTAAGTTCCGCTGCGTCATATTTCGAAGAATGAAATAATTTGTGGAGGCGCGACGATCAGTGCAGCTATATTCAAAGTTTGATGTTTACTACAATGTAAAGTTATATGATTACAATCAAAGGTGCGTATGCTCCATGAAGAGTTAAACTCTGCAAATTAGTCTCCTGTAACATTCACGAGATAAGATATCAATGCCTTGATCGTTTAATATATTGTGTATCATAGAAAAATATTTCACAGAAGATACAGAATTATTAATACTTAAAAAAAAAAATCACGAAATGTACAGTATTTGGATTTAGCCATGAATTTGGAATGACGTATAAAATTTCGTATATATCGTTTATTCAACATTGGGCACAGTTTTATTCACTTTATTACTTTTTTCACATAATGGTCGTGGCACTGGATGCGAACCATGAACTCTCGAATGCATAGTCCGAGCACTCTAACCACTGGGCCATGGAATGCGAGCCATGAATCCTCGAATGCACAGTCAGATCACTCTGACCATTCCCAGGAGCCACCGAAATAAATGTTTTGAAATTATTGTTGTAAATGGCGCCATTGTACATATATATGCTAATTATACACGTATCTTAGGTTTATAAGCTTTGTTTGTAATTAAGCACAAAGCTACACATTGGGCTATATGTGTAGCCCACCACAAGTATCGAAACCCGGTTTCTAGCATTGTAAGTTCGCAGACATACCGCTGTGCCATTGGGACATTTTATATGCAATGTTATGCGTACTTCTTGATGGATTCTCCTGAAGATGGTGGAATTATTTGAACCGAAACATGTAGAATTTTAAGTTTCTTTTAACTTATATATTTTTAATTTTTAATCTTTACAAGTAAATGATTGTACAAGTAAAAAAACTTTGATTTTTATTTTATTATTTTATTTAACTTCATTTTCAATGTTGACAAATCATGATAATATATTTTTTAAATCACGTGATGTTTGTTTGTTTGAAAACTTTCCTGTAAAGCTTCAGGAATAGCTATATGGACCATAGCTGTCTCACCAAACAGTGGGATTTGACTATCGCTCTTATAACGCACCCTCGACCCTAAAATGCGGAATGCAAGTTTGCAGCAAGCCTAAATCTCTATTTAAGTTCCTTTTGTTTTTAACAATTTATAAATATATTTTATTCATTTTTTCCGTTAACTGTTTAAGAATTTTCACATTATCCCAATCAATAATATGTTTAAAATTTGTTACGTGTTCTGCCAAAGCCGATACACCTGTTTTTAATTTATCCACAGCATTTTGATGTTATCTTACTTTAATTTTTAGGTTTCTACTTACCTGTCCAATGTAACTTTGACCACAAGTACGTGAAATTTTGTATATACCACATTTATCCCTCAAATAAATTTTGTCTTTCAAACCATTAATTATATGACATAATTTTAATTGAGGAGTAAATGTTACTTGGCAATTCAAGTTTTGCCTAAACACATTATCTATTTTTATTGACCATGGTAAAACATGAGGCAAACATATTCTTTCTAGATTTTCCTTTTTTGTTATTTCCAATTTCGTACATCCAGAAATTTGAAGTTTGTTATAATTCTTACTGTACATCCTATCTATGATTTAAGGTTGATACCTTATTAAAAGTAATACGAACATTGTTATTTCTAAAGCAGATATAGGTGGACAGATTGTAATATTAGATAAAAATGTGTTTAACAATAACATTAAACAACTTTTAAATAACGGTTTTTTATATTGATATCAAGAAAGATCCTACGAATGTAATACATAATAAAGTAAAAACAGTTGTGAAAACCTGCAGCATTTTAACAGTTAATGAACAAAGAAATATTGTACTATCTCAGTTTAATTTACCTAGGTTTTATGCACTCTCTATGGTACATAAAATCGGGGTACCGTTCCGCCCTATTGTGGATAACAGGGGATCGTCAACACATTTGGTGGCTAAGTTTATTGTTAAAAAATGTTCGTTTTTAACAAATTCGCATACATACTCAGTTAAAAATCCATTGGAATTTGTAAAAAAGGTTAAAAATATGCACATAGTAGAAAGTGATAGATTAGTTTCTTTTGATGTACTATCATTATTTACAAATGTACATGTAGAAGAAGTGTTAAGTTGTTTTGAAAATAGATTATTAGCTAGTAAGATTTTGTCACGGTTAGAAGTACATGATATCATGAATTTAACAAGATTGTGTGTAACAAATAGTTATTTTAAGGTAGGAAATAATGTTTAGAAACTAAATAAACTGGGGTCATCTTTATCACCTTTGTTAGCGGACATTTTCATGTTTGGGGTTGAAACTTATGTGCTAAAAACAGCATTGATAAAACCCGAAGTGTGGTAAGGTACGTGGATGACACGTTTCTGGTGTGGCGACATTGTAATGACACGTTAATTCACTTCCAGAAGCATCTGAGTTTGATCAGCCCTAATATACAATTCACTTTAGAAGTTGAAGATGATGGTTGTTTACATTTTTTATATGTTTCTGTAAAAAGAGAAAAGGGTTTCTGTCTACCTTAAAACAGATAGCGACTGATAGAAGGTATCAACCTCAAATCATAGATAGGATATACAGTAAATATTATAACAAACTCCAAATTTCTGGATATACGAAATTGGAAATAACAAAAAAGGAAAACCTAGAAAGAATATGTTTGCCTCATGTTTTACCATGGTCAATAAAAATAGATAATGTGTTTAGGCAAAACTTGAATTGCCAAGTAACATTTACTCCTCAATTAAAATTATGTCATATAATTAATGGTTTGAAAGACAAAATTGATTTGAGGGATAAATGTGGTATATAAAAAATTTCACGTACTTGTGGTCAAAGTTATATTGGACAGACAAGTAGGAACCTAAAATTTAGAGTAAAAGAACATCAGAATGATGTGGATAAATTAAAAACAGGTGTATTGGCTTTGGCAGAACATGTAACAAATTTTAAACATATTATTGATTGGGATAATGTAACAATTCTTAAACAGTTAACGAAAAAAAAAGATGAATAAGATATAAGAGAAGCTATAGAAATTGTTAAAAACAAAAGGAATTTAAATAAAGATTTAGGCCCAGGAGCCACCGAAATAATTTTTTTGAAATTATTGTTGTAAATGGCGCCATTGTACAAATATGCTAAATATACACGTACCTTAGGTTTATAAGCAATGTTATGTGTACTTGTTGATGGAATCTTCTGAAGTTGGTGGAATTATTTCCACCGAAACATGTAAAGTTTTAAAGTTTTTTAACTTATATATTTTTAATTTTTTAAACTTTACAAATAAATGATTGTGCAAGTAAAAAACGTTGATTGTCGTTTTATTATTTTATTTAACATTTTTGCACAAGAACTGTCTGTCTTGCGTATTGAAAATGAAGTTGTTTAAGAAAATATAATTTAGTGATTTCTTACATTTGAGATAAGGAAACTTTAATTTGACGCTTTCTAAAACACGATACTATAGTTTACAAATAATCATTCAAAATACTGCATGGATAAATCCTGATATTTTGCTCGGGTCTTAGTAATTTTAAGCTAAAGTCTTCTCATGAAGAAAGTTTAACATATGGTTCACTTTCTTAAGAGAAATCTTGAGCTTAAGATTATTTGTCAGTAAGGTGAACACGAGATTCTCCTTTCATCAAATTTAATAGTAATGTACACACAGGGAAATCTTTGTTAGGTTGCCTGAACGTATTATCAGTTAGGTTAATGTAAAATACCTCTTTTTCTTCTCATGTGTGTGTGTTGCATATCCTATTATGTTCGTATTACTTCATTTCGTTGTATAGCTTACTGACTGGCACGATGAGATAATACAAATAGATCGATATTACAGAGTCATCTATGTCTGTTATTCTCCTGAATTCTAACTTTCGTTGGTCTTTTTGTTTCAACACTACATTGGAGTCCATGTTCACAAGAGATGTCGTAAATTGTGTTTTGGGTCTATTGGGTTTAAGGTGGTTTTGTGTCTACTAACTGCGATTGAGTTCTATCGTAGCTTCTGAATACTGTTCTGGCTCTTTGTTAGTTAAATATCTTCCGTGTGTCTTCGGAGAGATATGTGGTTTTGTGTCTGTAATTTCCTTCCTACCTATCCTTGGTATTCATTAATTCTTTTTTATCAAGTGTTAAGGGTGTCCGTTATAAAGGAGGGTTTTTAGTGTACTTGTTTTCATTTTCCTTAGCACTTTTTGTATTATTCAAGCAAATACATTACGGAGAATATACTGATCCCCAAACACAAACTTACGAAGTTTTACAAACAGATAGCACTGAAATCTGTGATTCCTAATACTGTTTGTTCATTGTTAAACACAAAGCTACATATTGTGCTGTCTGTGCTCTGCCTACCTCGGGTATTATCGAAGCTCAATTTTTAACGTTATAAGTCCTCACACTTACCGCTGAGCCACTGGGCAGCTCGTAATAATGAGTATTTTGGTGTTATGATGTTTATAAAAATCATTTATTCACAATATGTAACATACAATGAAGTAGATATTTCAATGATAATAAAATTATGTGTTCCCCGTTAATTTTTCCATCATGTTCAACAAACATGTTGCTTGAAGGATGATACCTTTTTTTCACATCACTAAATATGTGAATTTTCGTAAAAATAAAACATATATAAGGCTTAGTTTTTGAGTTTTCAAACGTCACTGAATTAGATAGGTTTTGAGGAATTTTACCCACTGTAGAAAATACGTGACGGACTACAATAAACTACAAGAGTTAAAGTTCATTTATGTAAAAGTACCTACTTTGGATCTTGTTAATCAATATAAGGTAATATATAAAGAAATCAATGCATGGTTACACTGATAATCAGTGTAAGATAACAGCTAATGGGAAACAATGTAATGTAATACCTAATGAGAA